GCCAATGCAGAAAAGAGGCGCTTGTGGCGGCCGCGGCTGGTAATGGACGGGACCTTCATGGGGGGATGGATCGAAACTTGTCCTCCTCCGCAGTGTCGATCCGATGACATGAACCCCGCCTGCAAGAGTAATAAAGACCGCTGACGACGGGGAGACATTGCTTTTGTCAGATATTGAATTCACAATGGGCACTCTTCAAGAGTCTGTATGGATACAAGCTCTGAGAAGGGATCGTGGAGCTAGGGAGAGCTGCCGAGACACAATCCACTGACCTCTACTACTGCAGCTACCTATGGAATGAAGTGAATTTCATAGACGATAGACTTGTGGCAAAACAGCCAAAGCTTCCTTTATTCAACCGTCAAAAACTACTACATATTAGGTTGTGTTGCACAAGACGGACACCCGCCTAAACACGATGTTAACCTCGACGCAGCTGCAAGCAGCCATATCGCTTGAATTAGGTTCAGTGCATATGTATGTATGTTTGTCTTTGTTCATTAATGGGTAAAAGCAAGGGTACGCATACGGCAAAAAGACGGTAAAGCTCGTGTTGCGTTGTCGTGATGGCAAAAGCTCCGCTGTTTCAGACAGAGTGGTTTTTCCCTTTCCCTTTTCAGTTCAGCCTTTGCGTAAGGCATTGACGAAACGCATATCATGAAACGTGTAATGGGATGAGAGGATTTAGGCCCTTGCTACTCGGTAGAATATGGATGAATGTCAGTCATGCGAGTTGAGTGTGCTCTCCATTTGGAGAGCAACCTAGCATAATACAACGTCGTTGGTTGACTTTTGTTAATTATGTACCATTGTTTGCTTGCTTGCTTGCTTGCTTTAGTGTTGTACTTGTATCTATTTTGGGGGGGTTCCCTTCATAAGCCCGGCCTCTCCTCTCCTTTGTCCAATTCCCATCATGAAACCCACGACCCTGAAAATATACTTGATGCACGTGTTAGAAAGGGGTATAGTCGAGTGGACATGATTGCATGGATCGGTTTCGTGAGCAGGGGTCCTCTTGATAGTGACTGGAGCATGTCACGACCACGACCACGTCCCTGGAACTTTTCAATCTCCCCATATGAGACGAGACATCTTGTTGAGGAGAGTAACATTGAATACACAGCTGACAAGCATAAGCATTACACACTCAGCCTTGAACGTTACCATTACTACTTGTGGAAACCTCCATTTGCAACCCTCAAGATTACACAGCCTCGTGATACTGATGGATGGGATGGGTTCACCAAAGTCAACTCTGATGTGACACGTCTGACTGATCTTCTCTTCCTTGGGTCCGATCACTTCCTTTGACAGCTGACGAGGCATATCTTGAAACTCCCGCTCCATCACCATCGCTTGTTTCAAGTTGTCGACTCTTCAACTCTTGGGCCACTCTTTCGCTCTTGTTTCCCATTCTAGCATTTTTCGCTCTACTTCCGAACGCCATTTGTCCTCCCATTACAAAGCCGCGTAGCTTAGAAATACTTTACCTGTGCAGTATTGCCCGATCACACAAGAGTTTCATGTTTGATCGTCGTCGTCGTACCCTGCGGCAGCTTCGACATAACGTTAGACTAGCCCCTTGATCTATCCGTCACTGGTAAGCGCGCCGGTAACTTACACCGGATCACCGTATTCGATCTGACAGATGTAACGTTCATACCAAGGCAGGAATAGGTATATGATCACTCATATATATGCTGCTAAAACCGACAAGCTTTCGGTTTTAACACACGGCAAAGGGTAACTTTCCGTCATGTCACCGCCAAGTTTGTAGGGGCTACTGGCTTGACTGTTTCAAGACCTGGAGCTGTCACTGATGGCGACAAGTCATCAGCCCGCTTACATATGCTGTATATGGAAATACTCGCAAGCTAGTCCTTGTTAGATGACTACATCATTGTAGGTATTCCAAATCGTTGATGACCGAGGCACGAGCAAAGAACAAAGTTTGGATGAAGCATCTCGAACTTACAAGTGTCTCGTCATGTCCTTCTTCGAAACCTTGTATTAGTGAGAATGATACCAAAATAAAGACCAAGAGTTTCCAAAAGCCAATAAGAGAGATTCACACGGACTCGACGTTGTCAAGTTGCGACAAACTCAGCCGTGGTCGATCATTGGTGGTTCGATTGTTGAATTCGATATTTGTCGGCCGCCGATATTACATGGAATGACCTAGTAATAGCAAGCATTTACCAAGATCGGGAGTGTTGCTTGACACAAATAGATCTAAATCCCGTCTTTCAGCTTTTCAGGCTCGCAGTTTCACTGGCAGGCCAACTTCGAGACAGCCTGCGCCCAGTTTTGGTGATCTGCTCGTAGGTACGTACATACAATACCATTCAGAAAATACATTGTTCTGCTGTGACTTGACCCATCGGACCCAAATAACTGTGACATGCCCATCGCATCAATATGATGCAGCTTGAAACGTCGACACGGCCTCACCGTGGCCTTGCTGCAGGTACCGATCGTCCTCACACCGGTGCGACCTCTGCACTGGCCTCTCTATAATGTCTCGTACCGCGCCAGAACCAAGAAAAGCACTTCGAATTTGTTATGATCTGACCTTAGATTGATTCGATTATAGCGGTCATATGGTATCAAACTCGTATGTCAACTTTTGTCTAACCCGATAACAGAACCTCTGAACGCCCTCAACGCAGAATTCATGGTTAGTTGAGCCATCTCTCACGCAAGCTCTCATTTCTCAGCAACAAGCTTCCTAACCTTATCCAAAAGTATAGAACTCTCTCTGCCAAGTTTCTTGTTTCCATTACGATCCCTCGTCTTAGCCATGGCCTTCTTGAACTTCTCCCTCTCAGCAATCTTCTGTGCCCTCTCTTCCTGTCTGCGCTCAAACTCCCGCCGCTTCATCTCGGCCTCCTCCTGGCGCTGTGCTGCTTTGGCGAGTTGCTTGTCGTAGTAGCCTGGTCGTCTGGTGCGCCGTCTGTTGCCATCACTAGTGGGTTCACCGACAGAGTTTTCCTGTGCCTTGGCTTCATCTGCAAGCATGAGTTGTCGTGTGGGGTGCATCTCCTCGCCTTCTTCCTCAGGTTGCTTGTCCTCGCTGGCGTCTTCCATGGGAGCCTCATCTTGGACTGGCTCGCTTGTCTTTGGTGCTGGCGCATTTTGTTGCTCACGGGCTTTGATCTTTGCATAAGCCTTCTTCACCTTGGCCTTGTGAATCAACTCCTTCTTGACTTTCGTGACTGTGGTTGAATGTGAGTATGTGAAGTGAATGAAAATTTTCAAATGTGAAATAGGAGAAAGGACAAACCTTTTCGTCGCCAAGGACCGTCTGGTAAATTCTCTGGGCCGACTCTGAAGCCATGCTTAGGCTTCTTCGCCTCTGGGGCAGCATCGCCGCCTTCGTTTTGATGTTTGGGAGCCATGATCGTGGCGTTGTAAGTGTAAGAGTATTGTCGTTGATGAGAATTGAGAAATGTCTCCACTGTCTTCGGTGAAGGAGTGGGTCCGACACTCACCGTGACCGACACCGTAATTAACGGCACTTGTGATTTTTAGGTTGGTTTCTCGGAGAGTTTCGGTGGAGCTGCGCCGTAATCTGATCAACCAAAAGGTACATAACAGAAAGCTCACACGACTTTGCTTTGTTTATCTTGTTGTGTTACTGACTCAAACGGATACGGCTTGAGGACATCATTGGTCTACAGTTGTAAGTGGGCTGATGGAGGAAGATGCTGGTATAACTGTTTCGGGTTGAGGATGCATTGCCAGGTCACACAAGAGAGAGTCCAAACTGCCTAAAATTCAGGTGAATGGCTGGTCTATGGACTGTTGAGCTTCCTGTAGAGCTCAGCAATAACAAGGCACAGCACAGCATGCCTCGGTGTTATGCTCAAAAGTACTACACGTCAAGTCTGCATCACCCATCACACGATTACAGCCAATGCATGTCAGGGATCCTTTTAGCAGGCGCTAAACGTCAGGTATCCGCAAGGGACGTGAGCACTGTAGATTAGCGTGGGTGAAAAGTTTCTTTTTCTGCTGTGCCTTGTGAGCAATAAGTTGAGATGCTTCATCATAGACCAAGCCAAAAAGGTCGTTAGTTTGGATGTGGCATATCTGGGGGGCTGTTCAGTATCTCCACCTCACGAGCTGTAGGTCACTTGATGGTGTTGAAGGTATGAATATTGAGCATTACATGGCAAACTACCTACCTGTAGTGACCACAGCAAGATATCATATCGCCTCTGTTAGGACTCGGTATAACAAGAGATCTGAAAGCGTTGTTCAAATAAACAACTCCTCTATCCTGTGGCATCTATAAACATCAAGGTACATGACTTACTCTCTTGTTAGTCTTTGTTCTAGCGTTAGACTTGTTAGGGAATGATTCACACATTCACCGCCATCGGCCCCCAGTTGGTGATAGAATTAACGTCGTATCATAACTGCTTGTACCCGGACGGACCTGGACCTAGACCCAGACCCTGTTGATTTCTGCCCGCCTCATCTCTCACACTCTCTCTCAGTCTCTGACTCTCTTTAAACACATGGCCTCTCTCTCTCTCTCTCTCTTGACACAACTCACCTCGTCTACTTATAAGCCCATCTCCTCTTCTTTGCCCTTTCTAGCTCTTCCCGGGGGAAGACGGGACCGCCCAAGACTCACTCCATCGTCAGTGTAACTGTCGTCATATTCGGTGGATGACGTCCCACGATACGATCCCAGATTCCCCATATCCCATGCTCAGATTCGCATTCTTTCGACCCACGCCGTGCCTGGCTATTGCTCTAATCGTCCTCGTCGCATGATACATCATTACCCACATCTCTCGGCTCATTAATCAGACCCTTTCTCTACCTTAGCCACGGCCGTTGGATGCCAATATCAGCAACTAAAATCCCTGCATTGAATCACCCGTCACCTTTTATAACACCACCTCTCGGCTCTTTCGTCTTTCTTTATTCATGACGGATTCTACTAAGAAACTGCACGGCTGCTGTTACAGCTATTCAACATCGCCGTCATGCCTATCTTTCAAGCCGATCTAGACAATCACGATTCTATTGAGCCAGCAGCAGCACCTATTGAACTCCAAATACCAACCCCAGCTCCGACGCTTAGACGTCTTTCAGAGGAGAGCATTCGTACCGACCTTTGCGAAGGGCCTATCTTTGAGAGTCCACCACAGTCAAGCACCAACAGTCCCGAGAGAACCGAATGTGCTGAAAATGGGATATCGGATCGAGCTTCTCTAATCGAGAGACTAAAGAGAGCTCAGTCTCCGACCTGGATCCCAAACCGTCATGTGCGTTCTTCTGTTTCTTTGCTGCAGAATCCAAATTCTAACAGTCTCTCCCAGTTTGGCTCTATTATTCAGCACCACGCTCCTCCTCCTCCCGAGACAAAGCGACCTCAATCGCCATCAGAGCCTTCACTACTTGCGCCTGCCCAAATCACACCCGAAAAGAACGACTCCCAATCCGATTTTGACAACAGATTACGCGATGGCCTCAGCATCGAGCGACCGAGATCGGCCCTACACAGCGGCAACTTCACCGAGGAGGAAGCAGTAGCCAAGGATCGTGCGGCTCCGAAGAGTAGATATCCTGCACCAGCAGAGACTTCATGGATTGCAACTTCACCACCGAGACACTATACGCCGTTCCAGCACGACAAGGGAATCCCATTTACAGGGAGTGCAGAGAGTTTCCGATCAACTACGTCGCCTCTATCCTCATCTCTTTCGTCAAGCTTTGTGTATAAGCCACCTACTAGTCCTTTGGTTCAGGCCCAGAGCTCAGAAGAACACGACATGTCTTTACCAAGAGATGGATTTGGATACACTGGGAATAGTCGCTATATGCCAAACTCGGCTTCTTCCTCACCGTGGATGTCTCCATCGCCACGATATTCTCTACCACAGCGTGTCCCTTCGTATCGAAGAGAAGCATTCCCATATCAGGCACATCAACCTCGAAGATCATTGACTTCAACCCCAAGCTTCATGCAGGCCGGTGCATCTCCGCCAACGCCTGCTCTTCTTCGACCACGAAGATCCTCTCTGGTCGTAGAATCTTCGCCACTTCAGCACGCATCTATGGTCGGATCTTATGAAGAGAGTATTCTTCGTGGCCGCATGTCTACGACCCCTTCTAAGCCACTGGACTTTGTCGCTCAAATCGGCGTCTTGGGTAAGGGGAAATGCAAGTCCAGTTTGAAGTGCCCGCCACACGTTACTCTTTCATTTCCTGCTGTGTACTACAGCTACAGCAGCACCTCTCATGGTAGATCAAATACAGATGACGGGCCGAGTCCCTATGTTGGTCAGATTGACCTTGAAAACGGTCTTCCTAACCCAGATGATGAACATCGGGCAAAGAAGAAAGCACAAAGCCGATTTGCAGATAGGAAACCCAGCGAAGACATGATGGATATCGGTCTTGATAATCAAGGATCTGAGCAAATCTCACGTCGAAATTCTCGAGCCAGCCGCAGGTCAGGCTCTGGCTCTGCGAAAGCCCCTCCAGGCGGAAGCTATCGTATTCCGGAGAAGGGGCAGATCCAAATCATTGTCAAGAATCCGAACAAGACTGCCGTCAAGCTGTTTCTGATTCCCTATGACCTTACGGGCATGGAACCAGGCACCAAGACTTTCGTGAGGCAGCGCAGCTACTCGGCTGGTCCTATTATTGAAAACGCCCCTGCAGCGTCGGAAGTAAACGCCAGTGACCGCCCTATCTTGAGATATCTCGCTCATTTGCACATTTGCTGCCCTGCCAAAGGGCGGTACTATCTTTACAAGAGCATTCGCATTGTCTTCGCAAACCGTGTGCCCGACGGCAAGGAGAAGCTCAGAAATGAAACAACGTGGCCAGAGCCTCGCTATACTCCTTACAAACCCATTCGTCTGATGCACCCTCCGCTGCCTACCCACTCCGGTCCTGGAGCTATGCTAGCCGCTGAAAAGGCGCTGCGCAGACGTAGTGTAGGGGTCTTCCCTGGCCCTTCGTCTCAGGCTTTCGATGCCATGGACAGCATGTTTCGAGTCAATGATTCCCCTACTGGCAGCTCTGCAGCGGGTAACACCCTGCCACTTGACCCGATTCCTTTCTGTCTTCCCGGTCGCGTTCGTACAAGCAGCGATGTTAGTAATAGCACAGGCACAACTGCCGCTCTTGGCAACGAGATGCGTTCTCCTGGCTCATCCCAAGCCAGTCGTCCTTCGACTAAGGACTCAACCAATGGTTCACCGTCGGGACCTGCGCTCTACGAGAAGCTGAACAAAGGTGAACCTGGATACGGCGGTAACGCCTTCGCTCTCAACAGGTCTGGATCACTTGGTGGTGCTGAAGGTCTGCTCTCGCAGCGCTTGCGTTCCCTGGGGGTCAAGCAACCATCACCTCCAGAGACACCCAACCGGGGTGACATGTCTCCTTAGACAAAAGTTGATTAAGTAATTGCATGTTTCAGCATGCCTACCGTACATAAAGCGCCCTCGTTGAAAGGGTCTTATTATAGCCAAACATCTGTATATTGGATCATAGAGGGTATCGATTGCCCTGGATGGCGTTCTTCTACCCCGTCTAATCATTGGATTGGATCAAAGGGACCTGGCCAGGAGTTATATTGCTTTCAGGCGTTTGGTGTATCTCGATACCGGGCAAAATCTGCCATAGAAGGTTTAGATAGTCAATTGAATCTCTACACTACACGACTCTGTCATAATTGTTGTGGAAGTGCTAACCAGAAATTGACCATACTTTGAACTTGAAAACGATCAACGTGTTGGTCATGGCTTGAACTTTCTATTGTACAAAAAATAGTAGAATCTTTTGGTTTTATACACATAAATCTGTTATACATAATCAGTCATCATCAAACATCTGCCTCCTCAACCTCTCTGCCCGCTTCTTAGCCATTCTCTGGCGTCTTTCTGCTGTGTGTGCCCAGGTTTTGCTCCCATGATGATTAGCATGCGAGTATGATGTCTTCGATCTCGGCTCCTCGCCGTGAATCTTCTGATCGTAACGATCCCAGAACGCGTTCCAGTAGCTGAAGCGTTGGCGGGTGACCTGATCGTCTGGTTGTTCGGACCCCATTGCCTTTGCTTCGATTCTGACGTCCTCTGATGCATTGGAAACATTGAGTGCTTGGTTCAGCTCAAAGTGCGCGTTGCGTCGAGAATGCCATAAAGTGGCATACCGTCGAACTCTGTTGTGCAGCATTTCCTTCCATGTCTTGTTGTCAATAACCCTCAGGGGCTCAGATGCCACTCCAAGGTTCTTCTCGCGCTTCGTCTCCTTCTGCAAATCTCGGAGCAGAGCCTCCTTGACCTTCAGTAGAGAATGGTAAGACAGACTTTGAAGTACTTTGTCGAGTTCCCCAGGTGAAACATCTTTACCGTTTACGACGTATGCCGTAGGCATCGACTTGATCTCTGATGTGACAAAAGCATGGTGCAGACGTGGGCACTTCTCCTCAAGAGTTGATAGCACGCGAGAGACGTCCGCAGACCAGGCTGCCATCTTACGCATCTCTATCCACTTGTGCTGCAGACGGTAGAGGAGATTGTTGGGTGGTTTCAGGGTACGGGTATTTCGCATCAAAAGTGCGTTGCGCCGAGGGGGTGCCCAGCCTTGCCACCCTGGCATGAGCATCTTCTCGCACCAGTACGCGGCACGCTCAAATTTGCCCATGTCAGAAAGATCACGGATAATGCGTACCCAGTTCTGCCGAGTCAGCTTGAACCCAGCCTCGGTAACCTTGTCGACGGTCTTGCTGAGAAGCTCTGGTTCGTTTATCTTCTTGAATGTTGTTGCCACTTCGTCCACAGCACGAGACAGAGAGTATTCGGCACCAAGCATAATGCCATCACCTGAGCGTTTCTGGCTGGATGCAAGGGCACTTTCCCATGTCTTGTCCCACAGCGAAATGGCCTCACGGTATCTCTGATCGGCGTTCAGCGAGTGTATCAAAGCGGCCATGACATCAGGAGGAAACTGCTCGCTCCTGAACTCGGGGAAGATTTCAACGAATAGACTCAGCAATTCTTCAATGGAGCCAAAGTCTCGAAGCTCGGTAAGTAGATTGATCGCTCGACCAAGGAACTTAGTTTCGGCTTTAAGTCTTGCGAGATTGCTGGAGTCGGTCGCTTCAACCTCCTCGTCCGGCACCGACTCCCCTGCCGTTTTTGCTGTCGCAGCAGCCTTTTCGAAGTACGCGACAAATTCCTTAGCCAAATTCTGGGTTCGCTCAACACCGGGTTTCCTCTTAACGGCAGCGCCGACGAGAGCAACCCAAGCACTGAAGGTAATAGGTAAATCTGACCGTTGCAGTCGATAGAAAAGACTTTCAACAAGCTCGTGCTCTCCATTACGAGCAGCTCCAGCCATAACGGTAGCAAAATGCGCAGGGGTGACAAGGAATAAACTCTCCTCAACACCACGCTTGAGTAAATTATAGGCGGAATGGATTTGGTTGACTCGGATAAGCGCCTGGAGAAGAAAGGTGTATGTCTCATCATCCCATTCCACGCCAAATTCTCTCATGCGCTTGAGTAGTTCATAAACCTTACTGATGTTCCCCTCGACGCCGTTGAAGTTGATAAGCTGGTTCCAAATAGCTTCCGATATGAGCTTACGATGGGTTAGCTCAATGCAAAGGCTCTCGGCCTCAAAAAGAAGACCATTCTGGCAGTATGCCACCACCAGAGCCAGACCCATTTCTATGGAGATAGGTACCTCAGCTTCCTGTGACTTGTTAAATATTTCCAGGGTAGTCTCCAAATCACCCCTTTTAGCAGTCATGGCCATGGCGTGTGCATAGGTGTATGCATCCGGCTCGTGCTTTTCTGCGATATCCTCGAACAGTTTCATCACAGCATCATAGTCGTTGGTCCTCATGTACGCCTTGAGATATGTGTTCCAACTGTCGAGGTCCGGCTCAACGCCGTATTCATTGGTCATTTTGTCCATCTCTTTCTTTGCATTCTCAACGTCTCCAAGCTGGGCATATACGTTTATTGTGCTTCGGAATCCACGGGGGGACTGTACCACTTCGGGAAAACCTTCGATGTACTTGGGCCATAACTCCTGGACGGCTCGCACATCACCCCTCTCAGCGTAATACCTGAGAAATTTTTCATATCCCCATTGGTTGAGCCCGCCTTTGTAACGAATCCAGTCGTCTTTAATTTCTTCAAGTCTGGCCGTCCTCTTTGGGAAGCAAATCTTGAACATGCCACGCAAGACAGTCATCAGAGGCTGTGCGTCTGGCAGTTCTCTGAACTTCTGGTAGATAGGAACAAGACGTTCCATGGTAGCCCTACTCTCCTCTTTTACCATCCAGCGATCGATCATGATATTCAGGTACATGTTGTATGCATCTCGATCCTTCAGAGTCTCAAGAATAACCGTCGCATGCCTGGGGCGGCACGGTTCTCGTAATGCCATGTTGGCAAAGAACTTCCGGAAGGAGGACAAGGCTAGCGAGGCAACGGGGTCTTTCCTGATTTTCTTATGCTGCTCTGCGCCTTCGCCAACCAGATAGGCTCGAAAGGAGAAGTAGTGAGATCCTTGTGCAGGAAGAGACGCAAGCTGTTGAAGTCGTTCTAGTTCCGGGGCCAACGCATCGGGTCTTCTTTTGATGCGGCTCTTGTAGAATGAAACCCATACTTCCAAGGCTGCCGCCCATTTTTTCGAGTTGATCGCATCCGCCATCAAGTATTCAAGTCCGCGGTTCAACCCTCTCGTTTCCAATCCCGTTTTGAAGCACTCCACAGCCGAAGGAAGATCCCCGGACCGTAAAAGCAAGATAATTCCTGCAGTCAAGGTGTCGTTATCCCATGAGTTTGGCGGGATTTGGCGGAATATTGAGAGGGCTCTTCCTGTCTCAACGATGCTGTGAGAGCGGGACAGATACTGTACTACCTGGCCACGTAGGAAACCTCTTTGGTCATTGTCTAGCACCGAGTACTGGTCCCAAACATCTTGAAAATGGCCACCCTTTCTATCCAAAAGCTGTTGGAGTTTCCGTACTTGCTGCAGCTCTGGCTCAGATTTGGAGCTCACCGTTGGCTTTCCACCAGGAAACAGAGTTGGGTCCTCAGCAATGTCGGCTATCTCGTAAGGTTGTGCCGTCTCGTGCGGTCGCTTAGGCTGATTAGGAGTCGACGCTTCAATATTTTCGTCTGCTTGATTCGTATCGGTCGTATTCGGAGGTATTATCGATGAGTATGCTCGTCTTGTTGGAACGATTGCTGTTCTTTGCGCACACTGAGAGTTGGGTAGTTCAGGGTAGAGATTGCGTAAGAGGGGAAGGGTCGATTTTGGGTAGAGGAAGTCGAGGACTAAGACTGAAGCAAGTAGATTTGACTGTAATTGCTTTGTCTCCGGTTCGGGGGCGGCAGCTTGAGCAGATCTCATAGAGCCTGGCAAGGAACTGGAAAGGTCGATAGCGGCGGCTCCATGTTGCCAAAAGCCTGTATGTAATCGTCGAGATCGAATCGAGGTCTTGTGAAATACACGCTGGAGACTGCGCGACTCCAAATTCGCAGCTGTTCGCTCGAGCATTGAAGTCAAGGGGATGATCTGTATTATGTTGAAAGGTTAAGGATAGACGTTGTTCATGCTTGGTGGCAAGTGGACAAAACCGAGAAGCAGAGATCCGAATTGAAGAACCTCAGAGCTCGAACCGATAAAGAGCAGTCGTACTATACACACGGCAGGGCCGCAGAAGTGAGAAAGAAACGTTCTATCGAATATCGCAAATCATAAAGACTCCAATCGCTATGTATCAAAAAAAAAAAAAAGTTCTAGCTCGGTCCTCACAAAGATCGAAGTCGTTAACATCAGCCGATATCCACCATGGAAAATGGCCTAGGGATGTTTTGTGACCAATGAAATGATATAGATGGCGGTTAGCGGGGTCGGCCGTTTTGCCTCCAGGGCCCTCTACAATCATCATAGAGTCTAGAATTTGTGGTTCTTCAGAGGATCTTTTACTGATGCCTCAGTACTGACACAACTGAAGTTATAAAATGTCAGTGTTCTTGTTTTGGAGAGTGCAAAATTCAAATACAGAGGCAAAGATAAGCACATTCAGAGTACTGATGGTTACCATCACTGGGCGTTTGTTTCAATATTCATCAATTTATTCTGGTGGATGTCGATCCAGGATATCTTTTTGCTCTCACATACAAGTAAAGGCATCATACAAAATCTCATAGCGCCGCCATCTTATCCATATATACGGCGACGTCAAAGAGATCCAATTTCCCAATAATGAAAAACACCCACGGGAACCAATATCATGACACAATCTGGTAACTCCGAGATAACCAGCTCTCAGTACAATAGAACCCAGAAAAGAAACCAAAGACAGTGCAGTATCCGGTCATCGTACATAAAGAATTAAGAATATGGGGTATCGGTCTGGTTTCCGTCTTTTTTGTGTCTTCATAACCCACTCAAGGGTGATAAAGACATCAGCATTTGAAGGCAAATTATGATATAGACAAGCAATATCGCTTTTATGCGTTGGACTTGGCCTCGTCTGTGGTGTCAGAAGAAGAGGCTCGGACCTCGTTCCGTAGTCCTGAAAATCCATCAGTGGAATGCTGAGCTGAGAGCTCCATCTCCAACCGAGGACCCCGGCTCTGGCTCCGAGTTCGCTGCCTTCGTCGAACTGGTCTATGCTGTTGGAGTTGCTGCTCGACAGGAGACGCAACACGGGAAGGACAGTGTTCTCGGCGAAGGCGAGCATGGAGAAGTCGACGTCTTGTGGGAGATGGCACCCTTCTAGGTGAGGATGGTCGAGATGCGTAGCTCAGAGCTGGAGATGCGGCACGACGGCGAGAACGGCCTCGCAAGTTGCTGGACTCGTCTGCTGGAGCAGCTCGGAATGAGCGGACGCTTCCTCGGGTCATGCTTCGTTCTCTCTTACGGCCTCGTAGGACATCGTGATCGGCATTAGGGGCAACGATAGCTGGCGGCTCAGCGTAGGATGAAGAGCCGGGTGCAACTCGAGCAGTCATGTTGTGCTTTCTTTGTCGTGGTATGTGATGGGAGTTGGAGTTGGGTGGTTGTGAAACCGCGGATAAGTCAAGGCAAGATAAGGTAGATAGATACGTTATATGCAGAAGATAGAGAACAGAAACGGGCAGGTCAAAGTAGCAACGAAGGTATCGAGCCAACAAATCAATTCTGTGATGTTTGGGGTCACTTGAGCAACGAGTGGTGGTGGTCAAATGTGAGTAGACGTGGCAGGGATGAGCATATAAGTCAAGGTCAGTTGTTTGTTTTTGCCTGGACAGTTGATCAAGAGGATGAGGGAGGTAGAGGGCCTCACTCGGGGTTTATAAATAGAGGATTACCAAGAAGAAAAAAGGATGTAAAAGGGGGACAAACACCTCGGGAATGGAACTGTAGCTCCATGGAAGGGATTGAAACCTTGAAGGTCCAAGGGATGGACCCGGTGGAGGGTTAGACTCAGTTAGAGGGTGTAGGCAGTAGCGTCAGGTAGGTAGGTATAGGCCCGTAGCGAGGAAGCTAGACGCTAGAGTTCCATTAGTGAAGTGTGGGGTGCGGCATTGACATCCGGAGATGGCCCCCGTTGTTTGACATGGAACTTGCAGGCAAAAATGGACTTGGGGATGCGTCTCATCTCATGGTTTGTCTGCTCAATCGTCTGATGGAATGGTCACTTTTTTGTTGCACTTGCTTACGAATAGCGACCCCTGAAACGCTGTATTTTGTATTTTGTATTTTGTATTTTGTTTGTTTGTTTGTTTATCTGCCGCTGTCTAATGCTTGTCACGTATGCAAGGCAATGACAATATCATAATACTTCATGCTATAAGCACATCTACTTCATACAGTATGATGATACAGCTGAATAGACGTATGTACTGATAAGCTGATGGTGTTACAGACAAGATCGGCCTCACGTTGGCGCTGAACTCTGTTGCTTAGCCTCACCTCGCAGGATCGAACCTTGAAGAGCAGCATCTTGTTCGCACGATGAGGCGCCGAGGTATCTTCCATTGCTTTCCTTGAGCGGAGCAAGCCGTTGGACAGACTGCTACGCTACCTTACCTTTGCAGCAGTGTAACAACCTACCTATCCCTAGGTGCACCGGTATGACTGGACTGGATTGGCTTGGCCCTCCCTCCAAGGCAATTCGTCAATAAAAGCCATACACGATTGGTATGGAAAGGCTTCACTTCAACCCCAGACACAGAAGCTTGAGCTAGACGATCATAACCGAACTAGAGCTGACGAAACATGACGATGCATATCATGACGTACAGGCCGACGTATCAGCTCTGACATTATCTGTGCCTGTATCATTTTCAGAAGCTGATTGCGAGGTTACAATTACAAAATATCTGGCCCGAATCAGCAACTTGGTCGTCAAATACTGCATAACTCATGAGATAGTGGCCTGCAATTGCCTCTTTGTAACCGTCATCATCAGCAGTTTTAGCCATGTGTTTTCCAAGGTTGGCGTGCTTGGAAACCCTCCATCACAAGTTGCACGCGATCAAAGGAGTTTTGTTAGCGCCCAGGCACTCCAATGCTACCAACCAACTCAACCAAACCCATTCTCGTTAGTTCTAGGTACAGTGTGTATGTATGTATGGACTGACTGTCTTTTTAGATTGGCGGCTTCGCCTCCAAGTGGTGGCGCTGTCGAAGATTCCTTGCGTCAATCATTTCAGTTCGTAGATATTCTAAAAACATCCGTCAAACGAAAACCCCCAAGAACCTTGGCTTGTTCCGAGGAGTGGTGCAGATTTGTGAGGTCACACTAGGGCCGAGACTATTCTACTGATGCTGTCCAACGCTCTTTGGTTGTGGAAAGTTTAAAGGGGGGAAGGGCAAAGGAAATTCCGTTTCTGCTGTCACGGGAAACGGAATGGGAATTACTGAGAGTACGGAGTGACTTATTAGACTCTCGGGTTGATGCTCCGATAATACGATAAACTCTACGTCGTTGTTGGTTAGAGTAGACAGCTCCGTAGGCGGCCGTGATCTGTTGTTCGGCGGACTCAAATGTCCGTGAGGCCGTTCCTCCGTATTGTCAGCCGGACACTTCGGCCCCCAATATGACACTTGTTAGTGGTATTTGGAGAGATAAAAAAGAAAGGAGGTGAGCATGAAGGGATCCAATGCAACGAAATAGCAACTTCCGCATCAGTCAATAAGAAATCTTGTTAAGTTCATGCCCCGTTCCTCAACCCAAAAGATCATCATCACTAAAAGCCAATCGATCTCAACTCCCTTCCGGGTCTTGGTTAGGCCCGGCATCCGCTCAGGGGTCAGTATCCACCAATCACTTCCGGCCCCAGTTACCAGGCCTAGGCTCACTGGCTGTGGAGGCTGCTCTGCCTGCTGCTGTCAACTGGAGTCTGGCTGGTTTTTGGCCTGTCACAAGCTTTGAATGGATGATGTCCACGACCTGGAACCTCAAACAGGCACGCATCGTCATTCTGTAACCAGCTTCGTTTTGGTTGTCACTGCCAACAAAACCCCCAAGGACTTACAGATACTTGTTGCTGATTCGTTTCTCTTCTCGATACTGCCCTTTTTCACCTTCTCTTCACTACTTCCTTCTTGGTAAACCATATTACTCCTTTTTCTCGAATAACAACAACATCCTTTTATAATCTTATCCCTCCACCCCCTTTCAACCTAAATCAACACGCGTCACGATCGAGTAATCAAATAAATTCTCCATCAACGAACCCAAGTCCTAAGATTTCGACCTCTACCTAGGGAATGGCCTTGAAAACATTCTGATCCCGCCCCAATCACTCTCTATCTCCATCCCCATCTTCATCCGCCTTATTCCCATCCGTCGCCAACATGCCTCGATCACGACCCGCAACAACAGGCTATGAACGCCTCGCACAGGCCGACGACATCAGCGACGACTCAGATGAGGATCCCCTCTCCCAATCTTACGCATCTCTACAGCCCGCGGCTGCTCCACGATATGCCCCCGTAACTCAACCGCGCCATCGTTCTGGCATGGCCAGTCCCAAATCATTTGCCTCGTCATCGCAACCCAAATTTCGCCATCGTTCAGGAAGTAGCGCCGGTGTCGACCTCAAGGCCATCAATGCTCGTCTGGAGCGATGGGCAGACGAGATCGCTTCGCGTTTCAAGCGCAAGGGGAAGAACCAGCAAGGCGAAGAGGAGCGCCTTGAAATTCACTATTCTGTCTTCCAACCTCCCGAGGGTGTTCGACCGGTGACCGCTGAGAGCATTGCGGCACCGCAGGAAGGCGTCATGACCAGAGCAGAGTTTGAAACTATCGTGGAAAGCGTACGGAGTGCTATTCGGCAAGAAATCCACCCGAGTATGATTTCTCAAGGCAGTTCTGGTAGTTACTTTGCCCGAAATCCCGATGGCAAGATTGTCGGTGTTTTCAAACCCAAGGATGAGGAGCCATACGCTGCGGGAAACCCCAAATGGAACAAGTGGATTCACAGAAACTTGTTCCCTTGCTGTTTTGGAAGAGCCTGGTATGTCATCTTCGCCAAGACTTCCTCTGTCATTGCTAATGTTTATGCAGTCTTATCCCCAATCTCTCGTATGTCAGCGAAGCAGCTGCCTACGTACTCGATTGCCAACTACGAACACATCTCGTGCCATACACAGACGTTGTATGGCTTGCTTCCAAATCCTTCCATTATCCATTCTGGGATCGCCGCAAGTTCCATCGCAAGAAGAAGCCTCTCCCCGCAAAGCCCGGCAGCTTCCAAGTCTTCCTCAAGGGTTTCAAGGATGCCAACGTGTTCCTTCGTGAACATCCTTGGCCGGATCAATACTGGTCAGGATTCCGTACAAACGATGGCCAGAGTAAGAAGAAGAGGAGATGGACAGAGAGCTGCCGTCCATCAGGAAACGCCTCGCCGAATGATGGATACAACAGCGACGACGAAGAAGCTACCCAAGCCGCGAATCTTTTGGGTCCTGATAACTTCATATGGACCGACAACTTGAAAGAATCTCTGCGGGAAGAGCTTGAGAAGCTAGTCATTCTTGACTACATTATGCGAAATACAGATCGTGGTCTGGACAATTGGATGATCAAGGTTGATTGGGAGACAGGCAAGGCCTCGATAGCATCAGACCCCATCCAAATGAACATGGAACCCGTCGCAGAGGAAGAGGGCCCTCGGCCTGTTGATCTTTCACAACAAGGGCCTCGTGCTACGAGGGCGTCATATCCTTATAAGACCCAGAGACCTATGAGCGCCTCAAGCCGACAGCCAGCAGGAAACGAGCCAGCAATTACCATTGGAGCTATTGACAACTCACTGTCATGGCCCTGGAAACACCCCGATGCTTGGAGAAGGTTAGTGCATATATCAACGCTGTGAGAGGTATGCTAATTTGTGTTCTCAGTTTCCCCTTTGGCTGGCTTTTCCTCCCCGTCGACCTCATCGGGAGGCCATTTTCTCAAAAGACACGGGATCACTTTTTACCATTGCTGACTTCCACATCATGGTGGACTCAGACGATCCTCGCTCTCAAGAGGGTGTTCCAGATGGATGTTGATTTCCAGGAACGCATGTTTGCTAAGCAAGTCGCCGTAATGAAGGGCCAGGCCTGGAACGTCGTTGAGACACTCAAGACTCCTGATCATGGCCCTCTTGAACTGACCCGCCGAGCGAGAGTTTGCGTCTGGGATGATCTAGTTGACGTGCCTGTTGCTGTTCCTATGCGCAATACGTCCTCGGAAGTCCGCCGCAACCCCCACGTCCGTCAATCTATGGATGAGGCCGACATTGCTAGTTCGGCTCCGACCAGTAATCCTCCAATCGAGGACCTTCTCGGTCTGGCCAGTGCACCCGCCGATATGCCCCATCCAGGTAGATTCGAGCTCTCATCTCCGACAGGCGAGACTGCTCAGTCACCAGATGAGCTTCCCCCAACCGAACCCAACCTCCTGGCACCAACGGGGCAGCAACAAAACGGTGGGGACATAGGCAAGCGTCCCACGGTCCAGGCAGCTGGGTTTAGGAACAGCTACCAGGGTCCCGTTCGTGCACTCAACATGTATGAACCAGCACGCCAGCAGGCACCGCGACAGCAACGAAGATATTCATTTGCCAACGCTGCTGCCCGTCGTAACAGCAACACCATCGCGCAGCAGTATTATGGTGATAATGAGAACTACACCGACGATCTAGAAGGTGACCTAGGATATGCTGCAGCTGAGGGGCAGATGGGCAACCAACGCAAGGTCATTGTTGAGCGGCTTGAAGCCGTCAAGAGTAGGAATCCAGTCTTCACCTGCTGGTAGGGGCCTCAACCTTGGCCGCAGTATTTCTTTGCCTTTGATTTGAACGGCTGTCTGTCCTCAGAAACTGCAGGCATTGGATACACTATCTCTGCCAAGGTCTCAGCAGTCACGTCGCCTCACAGTGTGGCCTTCCCAATATGACATTACGTGAGGTTGCATCCCTTATTAAGGCCACCTTAATCTTATAAATCCAGGGGTAACCTGTTGAATCCGTGCAGTTCCTCTCTTGGCCAATATGCAGCTTGTTCGAATATTTGGTTGAGCGTTACTGGTTCGGGATTTATGTGCATGATGCTGGTCACCGGGAGGTTTCTTCCAGAGACACAATGGTCCTTTTGGAACACTTGTCTCACTGCAAGCCTGTGTACCATCGCTACGAAAAGAGAAAACAGGCCGCCCAGGTTTGCAAGCAAGCCACAGAATCCAATCTGACTTGCATGAGAACTCGAAAACCAAGCGAGGATGTGTGCGAGCAGAGCGGGGTCAAGAGCTGACATGTCATTGCTGTACAGTATGGTTCAAAGGCCGTGGTACGGAATTTGCTGTGCTTATCCTGGTACAGTATTCGGTGGTGTCTTGGAGTTTTAGGCTAGAAGCCCCATGGGTTATGATGATAAAATTTAGATGTCGTTATGATAGCCCACCGCAAAATAGAAGGATATGGATAAAGGCTATAGACTAGCCCATTCACTTTTTTGGGCATCATGCTGTAGCATCCATGACTGAGTTCATAGATACTGTTGGCATCTGGGGTCTTCCAGAACGCCAGACATACTGTGTTATCTTTGCTGGGGAATAAAAACCGAACGGTGTGGTAAATCCCAATTAGCGGAACAGTGCCCGTATAACCACGCCCACCAATTTCCCGGGTTTCTGGTCAGAACCCGAGAGTCTGGGTCGGTAAACCATGGCTTGAGCATGGTTCCCCTGTCTTCGTAGTATCAGCCGTAGCGCATAAGCGTTCTACTATCGGTTAGTTGGCAATAGCGATTCAGACAAAGTGCTACCAGAGCTGAATTCTGTTTGCTCTGCAATCCTGCATATCGGTGTTCTGCCCAATCCACCATGTCCTGTGTTGGAACAGGCCGCGGATAAGTTTATCCGAGTAATGGAGCTATCATATGAGGCCGCACCACGTAGTCAGAAAAGTAACAGTCAGTTGGCGATCCTCCTTTGGCATGCAGCCTGGCAGCCTTTTGGATTCGGCGTTATATTATGTTTATCCCCCCACAGACTCCATGATGGCGGCCCGTAGCGGCTGTTAAAAGGCTGCCTGTGGGTAAGGTAGCCACTGGACCCTCCGAAGCTGTGTGTGACAGTTAGGACGTTGGATCTTGCGAGATGTCACTTGCGACATGCTTGGAACATGCTATTGATGCCACACAATTTTGAGGGCCTTGGACGGGGCAAAGGACGCCTTTTGGCAAGATTTTCAATTTGCTATCGCCTTCCTTTCGGAAGCACCCAACGTGATCTCTGGTGCGGTCATGGGACAGGCGGATCGTTACTTACAAGTTATCGCAACCTCGCAAACCGTGGACACTTCCCATTCGTTGGTAGGGTTTCTCGTCGTCTCCGTATCCACAAGATCATTTGTGAGACTTAATCATTGTGAGCCTATGACCGGATCAAGTAAGCTCTCCCAGGTTACCCCTGTTAACATAAGGATGCGGCAATAGGGACCATTGATTGTCACCATCGAGCTCCTTTCTCTGCGTGTCATGAGGTGACAGAGAGCTTTGGCTCCTCACCACCTGCAGCGTTACAACCTGCAACGGCCCGTCAATGTGTACATCGACACTAGTAGAGGTACGACGTTGGGCGAGTAGCATTCTTTCGTCACATTTTTCGTAAACAGGTCCTTTCATAAATCGATGGTCGTATGATGTTAATAGTGAAGCCCAGAGAGTGAATTAGCCGAAGGGGGGTAGCAAATGCACGCCAGCCGCGAGAACCCATCCCATGCAACCTAGCGGCCCATCACCAGCATATATGCGACCATGAGACCTCCCTTTTACACGCCTCTGCCACTAGAAATCTTCTGAACATGGGCTTTGCATAAAACACTGCTGGATACACGAGGCGGTGAAGAGATGAATCGGTCTGAGAACTATCGCTGTTTGGCTTTAAAAGATCCCGGTGTAGTTGAGGTGGATCATAGCCAGTATCGTTGAGACCCGTCGAAGGTTCCTTTTGGTGAGAGGGAAGTGCTCTGACTGGGCTCCTTAGTCGCTTGCGTCGCAATCCTGGCGCAACCATATTATCGTTGGTAAGAAGGGGCCAGGGCCAGATAGTGAGGGTGATCCGCCTGACTCGCCTTTACATATAATCGACGAATTCCCCAGTCAAGTAAGTATTGTCGGCCACCGTTGCCGTACGTGAGCTCTGAAGATACCAAGTCGTATATGAGGACAGTCATTAGGGTGACCCGTATCCGAAGGCTGTCCCAGGTCCATGCCATCGGTATTGACATGGATTGTCATTGGACTTGCCCCGACGAGCCTTCATTGTGAAACCATGATCTTACTTTGTTCACCAAAAACGCTGTTACACATGTGACAAACTGTGTATCCTCTTTGTCTAGCTGATGATCACTACCGACGTTGGGGTAGGACAGCCTCACTATCGATGTCAAACGGTTCGTAGTCATTGGGCGCCACCTTCCGTGGCAGGCACATAGTCTCAAGCCATCCACGGAGTCTGCACAAGTCCCGACAACCGGGTGCCTGAGCGTGATGGTGGGAAGGATTCCATCCAACACACAATGGATGCATTGGTTGGTTCTGACGGGGTAAGGCGAGAATGAGACCCTCCACCAGACGCTGCACCTGTACGGAGCAGAGTTGACTGCAATCATGTCTAATAACATGCCGGAAACCATTCTCTCCACTTCGAGTGGAACCTGTCTCGTCGACCGAAGCATGGGGCCATGGATGGGAAAAGGGTGCTAATGAGGCAATCAATGGCATCCAAACCAGTGGTTTCCATTTTGCCCGTCGATGGCTGCTTTGGTGACCAATGTCTAAGTGAGAGTGTCAAGAATTTGTGAATCTCAAGTTCAGAATCTTTCGTCCCTGTCTAGCATTCATCAATAGCCAAAAGAGCCAGCCTCTAACCTATACCAAGGTGTTGATGCTTTGCCTGAATCTCCGCGTCATCTTGCCATATTCTATAGGATACTGCGGTTGTGAAATAGCCCCTGGTGATATGTTCGCTGTTATTCTTCCGTACTAGGGCCAATATGAGTTGATAAACGACAGAGCTCTGGGGTGTCAAGATCGGCATTGGGCCTTTAGGAAGCAGTCCTTTGCCGGCCCGTGTCTCGGCTCTCTGCTAGATCATCTCCGCATTCTTCGAGAAGCCCTGTTGCGCGTTTGAATGGTACGCAAGGCCGCTAGATGCAAAAGCCACCATAGTCATGTTACGTCTTTGCACTCTGCATCCTAGCACCAGGGTGGCTCTTATACGTTAGGCTAGGGTCGCGCTTTTGGGTACCACATGTCTTCCCTAGGAGTTGTTTAAATCCTTTTTGGAAAAGGCAGCTCTGCCTGTCATGGCTATTGTCGTCCGAGCAAGCTTGCATCATATCTGGAGTATTGAGAGGCATTTCGTGTCCGAAATTTCGACCATAAAGAAAATGGATGCAGAGTAAGACTACCAAAGTTTCTTGATATGGAAGTTTCGCTAAGCCCCCATGCAAAGGGATGGAACCGTGCCCTTGGACGAGACGTTCACCGAGACAATCGAACACTATGGGCGCTCTTATCAGCATTACTCCCTCACGAATGGGACATATTTTGCCCCCATCGATGAGGTAAGTTGATGATCTCTATCCAGGATCGAAGTGGTTGACAGAAGGTAACAAAAGTCACTGAACTAGGACGAAATCTCGCGCCTCGAGGTGATGCACGGAGTTCTCAGCAGGCTCTTTGATGGGAGGCTCATATTCCCCCCTATCAGGTCGCCACGACGAATACTCGATTGCGGTTGTGGTCCAGGAGATTGGGCTATCGAAGTTGCCACACAATATCCTGACGCCGAAGTGAGTTTCCCCTACGCCATTGGCAAGTCTCCCCTTCCAGGGGCAATATTTGTAGGCCATCCGAGTCAGGCGAAATTCGATACACCATGTTCCATCATAGAGCTTGAGGCATCTGGATCCTGTAGGCTCTTGTGGTCCCATCCTCGAGCCTCGAGGAGGTGATTTTGGATATAGCCATGGCCAGCTGGGCCAGCCTGACTCGATTCCTAAACCTTCAAGATAAGGATCTGGGATGAGATACTTTGTGGCTAAGTCTTTTGCACAGGTCCTCGGCATCGATGTCAGTCCGCACATGATTCCAGAAAACCCTCCCGACAATATGGAGCTCCAAGTTGATGACCTTAACGGGAGGCAAGTAGTTGCAAGAAAGTCTTGTGATGGATGCTAACCTGGGTCCCGGATAGGTTTACATTTCGATCCAACCACTTTGACGTTGTCCATAGCCAAATGGTCGCCGGTGGTATCCATGCGAATCGCTGGCGAAGCTATATTCGAGACATTTTCCGTGTATTGAAGCCAGGCGGGTGGTGTCAGATGGTCGAGATATACTTTAACGCCCAATCTGACAATGGTACGCTAAGTAGAGGTGATTTCCCCAGTCTCCTGAACACAGAAACTTCTGCATCCTAACAATTGTACTGAGTAGATCACGCCCTGTCGCAATGGTCCAGACAATACTTGGAAAGTCAGCAGCCATACAAAGATCCACGGGCACCACTTCAATTGGCCAGCTGGATGAGAAGTGCAGGGTTTACGGAAGTCGAGTCGAGACTCTTGACGTTGCCAATGTGCGGCTGGTCGAGTGGTAGGTTTTGATGCCAGATCCTATGTGTTGAGGCTGATGGTGGTGTAGTCCCCCGGGATTATGACATAGGTCGATCCAATACCGATAACGTGAACCAGCTATTGTATTCGCTAGCATTATACCCGTTCACACAGTTTCTTGGGTATGTCGGTT